AAATAAGATATTATTTATAAAAATAAGATATGATTTTTATACTATACAAAACATGTTCTTTTCTCTATTTTCGAACAACTAACTTAAAATTAAACATATGTCATTATTTAAATTATCCTAGACAGCCAGTCTTACACTGCAACCTCTACATAAAATAGGTTTCATTTACAACAGAGTAGGTAGTAATTGAGGAAATTTTATTATATAGGAAGTTGAGGTATGTTTATTGAAGTTTTATGAGTGAGTTGATTGAGTAAAATAATTTGTTTAGTCGAGTAGGAGTGTGCAAGTAAGGAGAAATTTGAGATGGCAATATTTATAAGAGATTGATATAAATAATGTTTGATTGATGGGAGTTAATAATTTTGGATAAAATGAGATAGAATTTTTTGTTTATTAAATTTATTATGTTCTGTTGTACTGATTTCATGAGTTTATAAAATAGTAATGTATAAATAAGTATTTATGGTGGTATGGATAAATTTACAAAGTCATGTTAGCGAATATTTTATTTTTGGTGTATTGTATTATATATTATACAGGGGGTAAAACTGTGCAAAGTGTTGAGGGGGTGTGTGTTACTGGCTGGCAACACCTTGCACAGGAAGGATGATTTGAATATTGGAACAGTGTATTTAAATTTTATAAAGGAATATTTGATGTTTGTAAAGACTTCTCATCACGACATATACCAGGCAACATATAAAGCATAACATATATAACATGTAAACATAAGACTTTATTAAATATGTGACTGTTTTTATACTGCAAATATACTAGTTGAATATGTGAATACAAGTGTTTCAATAGACCTCCACCTTATTCCTTATATCTTAAATCTGAAATTACAACAAAGTTATTTTAATAGAAAAAGGAAGAAATAAATGCATAAATGTTTAAGTTTTTTGTACTTGAACTAGAATTGGATAGACATGCATGGTCACCGTAATTGTTCAACAAATTATATTTAAAAATATTATTTGTGTACATTTAAATGGAATGCACTATGACGAAGTTTGTTCCAAACTGGAATGTGAAATGTAAGTGTTCTAATATTCAAATCAAATAAAAATGTACAAATCATGATCCAGAAAAAGGTAGAAAACGCTCTGAAATCTTATATTAATAGTAACAAAATATTCGATTGCCACAATAGGAGACAAAGTTTACGTGGAGAACAGAAATTGTCTAAATAGGAATAAAATTGGTGAATTAAGAATAGATCGTATAATGCTTTAAAACTTTGAAAGTTTCAAATTCAATTTATAAAGCCTTTATATCAATGTAATTGATTTTTTTAAAAGGAATTATTTTGTACTAGCTTACGCCCGCCACTCCGTCCGCGTGGAATTAAAGTAAAAAAACAAAAGCAACCTACGTGTTATTCCAGAATATCTATACCAATATTTATATCTACATCTATACCAAATTTCATACAAATCAGCTCAGCCGTTTAGGCTACAAACACTGACAAACATCCATCCATCCATATATCTAAACTTTTGCATTTATTACATTAGTATGATTGGTATGATTTCTGTGGTTTGGAATTTCTGAACGGATGTCAAGATGACGTAATCAATATCGTAATGACAGTTGTCAATGTCATCTGATTTATTTATTATTGTAAAAAAGGGACGTATGATTATGCGGTTTCGTTTATTTTACAGATTTATTTACATGTTTCCTTTTATAATTGATGTAGTTAGATAAGTACATTATTTTTGAAATAAATCGTTTATTTTGTAGCAACCCTAAAACGCTTTAAATTGAAGCTAGATCGGTCAAATTTTTGGTATGTATTCGTTAGTAGTTAATGTGGCATAAAACCCCCGCATACCTGAGACTTTTAGTCGCCCTATAGATTGATCTGTTCTAGATATGAGTGCGCACCTGGCACGACGAAATAATTGGTTGGTTGTGGGCTGCATGTAGATCAGGCCGGGGTCGCGGACGTAAGCGAAAGCGTGCCCGTAGCCCAGGCCTAAGGCGTTGGAGGAACCGAGGGGTTTAGTGGGCATGCCCCCTCATTATGGGGCGCGAAGTATGCCTAAAGCATTATGTAGAAAACATTCATTTGAATTTTTTTTTTATTCAATTAATATTAAGATAATAAACACCAAGGGGTTTAATTAAGTAAATTAAACCCCTCGGTGAGGACATATATGAGCTGGTGACAGGCATATAAAGTTTATGTATTTGTTGATTAAAATATTTATGATATAAGACAGACGGAAAATCCTTAAAGGATGTTAAATAAAGGAAACATCCAGAACTACTGACATCAGTCCTGCAGTACCAAATACATAGCTTAAATGACCAATTTATTTGTAAAATATTTAGCCGGAGACAGTACTATACATTTAATGTATATTTTCAAAATTAGAACGAGTAACACTAAACAAAGTTATGTAACAATTCTTGTGTTGATTGACATGGAGTTTTCTTACCGTCTTTACTCTTCTAAAACACTGAATGGACTAACTCAGCTTTTACATGATTGCATATTTTAAGTATTATAAAATTCAGTTACAGTTGCTGTCAGATGGCAGAAGGAATACAATTAGAAGATAGTGGTGCTGTATTCTTCATGTAACATTTAATCAACTCTCAAGACTAAAGATAGTTAAAATAATTTGGAAAGAAGACGAACACATAAATAAACAGTTTATATGAAATAATGCTAAGCAACAGTAGAATTCTTTAAGAATTTATCACAGAGATATTATCATAATAGGAAAGTGATGTTGACCTTAAATCTTTTGTCGTAGTCAATCTTGCAATTGTAATCATTCATGTAATTCAAAAATGAATATAACATCATAATGAATGGAATTTATCTTGTGATTTGTGACTAATGTTTTTTTTTTACTGAAAACATATAGTTTTCACTTTTTTTTTCTTTGGAACACACAGAGATAGTTGCGGATTGCATGTGGTCAGAAATAAAGTTAATTTAGATGTTACATATTTAAAACAATTTACTAGCTAAGTAATATTAATTAGCCATAAATTGATTCTTTTAATTTGCATGGTGGAGACTTCCAATTCCTGATTTACAAATGTTCAGCATCCATATTATTTAGAGTCAGATAAGATAAGATTAATCAAATGTTTAGAGTTTTTTAAGTCTGCAAAGTTTAGTATTAGCTGCCAACTTATAGACACATCATCCAATATTTTACAGCAACATTAATTTTGATTAAAGAAAAGATTAACATAGATATTTTGAAGTGACAAATGAAATAGAATTTAAAATAAAAACGGGCTTTATTATCTTTTTAAATTTAAATGATGTGTCAATTTTTACAGTGAATTTTGAAACAAATTCGTATTTTTGGTTTATTTTATGTTCGTTGTTGTTTTTAATTACTTTTATGGAAAATTTCAAAACCAACCGTAACTTTAGTTCGAGGACGAATACCGATTCCTCTTCCTCTTCCTCTCCGATTCCTCCGAAATAATGTGTTCCTAGTTATTACGCATTTTCAGAGAGCTAAGAAATCGGGTATGTTTTCAAAAATATCTGCAGGTCAAGTTCCATAATGACTTTTTTGTTTTTAAGGCATTTCAATGGATGGGAATCTCGAAAAAATTGAAATAAAATGGATTTTTAGCTCGCATTTTTTTAATTTGGACAGATAGCCCATGTTTTTTTATTGTAATATGATCGGTGTTCGTAGTGTAATCGGTGTTTTATTAAACGTTAAAATGCTACGACTTTGACTCAATGTTACATCAACACATTGCTCTGTTTCCAACTTAACAAAGATATAGTTAGTAATATAAGTTCCAGACAATAAGATGTTACTCTTATAAATTTTTCCCAAAGTCTAATTTATGTAATGGTAAGAGCCACCTGGTGAATTCTGAATTTCTGAACCTAGTAACCTGTTATTTATAGTTGTTTACTAGAATGGGTATAAAGGCTTGAATAGATGTAGGTGTCCTGAAACCGCATTTTAATTTTTTTTTTCCAAAAAGTTAGGCATCCATAACCCTAATTGAACAAAATTACTCCCACTACGGACATCGTGGAAATGATAAATTCATCATCAACATTTGTAAGTGCTTAATCTAGTTATAAAATTAAATACTTAATCCAATGAAAATTTGGAGAATAGGGTAAACGAAAAGGTCAGCTGAGTAGGGGTAGCCCAAATTAATATTTTTATACATGTGTCCCCTAAATTAAATCTCGAGAGGCGAATTTAACTAAATAATCATTGGATATTGAACTTATATTAATTGACAGTCGAATTCTAAAACTCTGAAATAAGTGAAGAGGTAACCACTTGCTGAGTTGAATAATATCACTTTGTCCGCAACGTAAGGTAACTCCCTTCTTCTTTTATATAGGTAAGAAATATAGTTACGAAAAAAAACCAAGATAGTTACATATTCATTTACATTTATTGGCTACAGCCGCCAAACCATTGCGCTTCTCTTTTGAACGATCATTAGATTGAAACTATTTTTTAAATATCAGTTTAAAGCTTAACATTTTATAAGCGGGTGTCTAAATCGATGAATGGTTTTCGTAAAGCGATACGACAATTGACAGAGCAAACGTAAGATATATCACGAGAAGGTCAAAGCAGGTTGTTTCAAATATTTTTCTTTTTTCTGGAGTTGTAATATAAAAAGGTACCCTATAGGAACGA